TATTTTTCTAGCATAATATTTTTCTAATTTGGAGAAAAATTCATTTAAAAATTGAGAAAGGGTTTGAATCATAGTTAAAAATAAATTTTTTATTTGATCATGAATCGTTGCAGTCTGATAACATATATTATTGAAACTTTTGACGCAATTTTATAATTATATACAGGTAGCCCTCCTACAACACGGTTTCCTATAACACGATTCATAAATTGCGGGAACCCTCCTGCAACACGGCATCCTATAACACGGTTTAGCTCTAACACAATAAGAAAATTGCAAAAACCTTTGTACAACACTATACTTCTATATAAGCAGTGACAACGAAGAAATTTATCAAATTAATGTTGCGTTAAATTAAAATAATATTTTTGTTTTTGTTTTGTGTTGTACATACGTTTATATTTTTAATAAAAATCAAGTTGTTTATGTAGAAATAAAAAAGAAATTTCTTTTTAGTATGTTTTCGAAACATAATTTAATTATTTTCGTACTGGCTCTGGGTCTCATACAACACGGTTTCACGCAACACGGTATTTTCTAGGAACCTATTTACCGTGTTATAGGAGGGTCACCTGTATATATATTTTTGATACTTTCATGAATTTTCATTCCAAAGTTTATGAAAATATTTTTGACATATGAAATGAGTATTATATGTGAAAAAAAGAAATTGATTTTCTTTTACATGTTTAGGTGTAAAGTAATAATCTATTTATGTCACAAAGTTAAAATATGTTTTCTCAACATAAATTGATTAATATTTTTTTTTAGAAAATATTAGGTTTCTTCGATTAATGCATTGAGAGATTTGATTCCATTTTACAAAACGAATTTATTATTCATATGTATATTCTTTAACTGTCCACATAGGACAAAATTAATAACACCAAAATGTAATTCTTCTAAAATTATCCAATTTGTTTTGAACATTTTATCGCTATGGATAATACTTAATATTACCATGCATATACCTTCCTAAATTACGTTGAATTAATTTTGTGTTTATATGGACAATTATATAGAATAGTGTTTTCTATGACAATTTAAAAAATATTTCTTATTTCATTTCCACGATCAATATCATTCGTTTCGTCTTTCAGATTTATAGTAAAGTAATAAAAGAACTATGTTTGACTAGTAAATTATTTCAATAATAAAATATTCTACTGTAATAGTAATGGAAGGATGTTAGAATACTTCTTAAAATTTATGTTATTATTTTATATTATTTAAAGTTATGTGATAATGAATTAAATTTTGCAATAATTGGCATATTAAATATTATCAATATATTAGGTAACCAAATAAGTAATATCGTTCCTTGAAATTTGAATAAACATTCAAGAACAACATTATTTATTTTATTACCCAATATTTTTAACATGTAGGAATTATTAATATGTTACTTGAACAAATGCATTTTTATGAACATTATTTACATAACTGGTCGTTAGTCTTTAAAAATATGCAACTCCTACATATAAATCATTTTTTTAAGTTCATCATTTTCTGAAGTGTTAAAAATTGTAAAATTTGTTGAGATTAAAATTTTATTAAAATTTTATTAATTTTATTATTAAAATTACATTGTAAGTTGTTCAACTCTTTTCCATATTTTACTGTAAAATATAAGTATTAAAATGGAGAAAGAAAGTTGATAATCTTGGAGTGACGTTCAAGGTCATAAATGAAATTTATAATACTAAATTATACAAAATATGAAGATAAATCGTATAAAACTTTTTTAATCTTCTGTTTTTAAATTAGTTGAATTAATATAAATATCTACTATAATTGATTTATATAAAAATTATATATTGCATTATTTTATATAATATTATGTAATTGCATATATTAATTACATTACGTGTTAGTTTTGTCTTGTAACATCATATAACTATAAAGTAGAAATTATGATAATAGAGCTAGCAAAAGGTAGATATCATTGTGAAATATTTAGGGATAAAAAGAAATAGGATGAGAGTGAAAATCTTCGATCTATGCGTTTCCTCTTTTATCGTACTATTTAAAAGCATTACGTTAATTATTAATAATATCAATACTAATGCAAAAATATAGTAGTAAAGTATAGTAGTTTAATAATAGGTAAATTAAATAAGATTTGAGACTTGACGACCTGGGTCTTATTTAAAATTTTATTCCAACTAAAATAGTTCAGCTAGATTCGAAAATTGTTCATATTTTGACTATTGATTTAACTATTTTCATGTCTTTATATATTTTTATCAAATTAAATCACGCTATAAACGAATTTGTTTCATAAAAAGGAAATAGAAAAGGAAATGAAACGAGATAGAGTGAAACCTATTAAATACTGAATATGCATATACAATTTCCTTTTATAATACGTTAATTTAAAGATCTTAAAACAATTTACAACTTCTTTATATCTTTTTTCAATTGTGAAAAACATTTCATTTGTTATGAATACCTGATGATCTATATCGTTCACTCCAGATTCTCAAAGACAGGTGAATTTATTAGAATAGAAATATACTGGCAAGAAATTAATAAAATATGTCAAAAATTATTAAAATTGTATTAAAATTTTATTAGAATTACTGAAAGTTAAAAAAAACTATTTTTTTCATAATGTTATCAATACATAAAATTATAAATGAATAATTTAAAAAAAATTGTTTTGTGCTTTGAGTGCAATATTCATTCTTATTTTATGTATTAATAGAGAACGTTTTGGATAAAGAACAGATTAAATATATCGATTCTTAATTATTCGTTTGAACAAAAATTTTGCAAAATTTTAGTACAAGATCTGAATTAGGTAACTGAAAATTGATGATATTCTATATGTTCTATATGTGTAGATATTTTGTGCTTTACATCGATACAAAAATTTATGGTTGACAAAATTGAAATATATCGAAGAAATAAAAAATGTTATATTTTTGGAAATGGATATTTTTATTTATATCATTCAAATTTTGTATTTGAAATAAATGAATTACATAAAATGACTTAATTATGTTATATTTTTAACTTCTAAATATTATAAGATATTTAATACCCATATAAGTTTTGACGATACACATTTATGTTACAATGTAATTAAAATTTGAAAAAGTTTATTTGTTTTGTTTTTGTTTGAATAATATTTTAAAAGAAATAAATTGAATATCCACAAATGTACTCAATCAACACAGATGCGCTTTTACCGTTTTATTTTTATTTTCTTATTACATAGAAGACATATTACTAACTTATGAAAAAAGACATTTGCTGCAATATTTCCAACTTAAGCATATTTCAACAATTATAAGATTAATAAGATTACGAGATTAAGAATTGTTAGGTTAGGTTAGGTTAAGTTACGACTTAATTGTATTAAAGGCGTAGCGAAGTAAAATTTATCCAATTTTCAGAACACTTTGCTATAGTTTATCCAGATTTTCTTCATAATATCATATCTTATATAGTTTAGTATTATAAATTCCATTTATACATTTCACCAATCAGGTTAACGAATTAACAAAAAAAGAAAATTATCTCTGTGCATAATAACCGTAAAAACAATTTCATCACTTCGAATAATATTGTTGAAATAAATAATGGATTTAATTAATAATTATACATAAAATTAAAAGAAAACAATCTCCAAAATATAACTTTCGTAATGTGAGTAGAAAAAACAAACGATAATACGCCATCTCATATATTTCGATTATTGAATGCTGATTGAATATATACATTTTGTGCATATTTTTGTATATTTACGTATATTTGTCACCCCCAGTTGATAACTGAACACACCTACTACATAGGTCAAATAATCTGTAAATGAAAATGTGAAAGAAGAAAGACTTCAAACAAAATGGAATAAGAGAAGGTACCGAGATATCGATTGTACGTGTATTAGAAGAAAAATCACGAAGTGAAGTGATCAAAACGATAACGTGTTGCACACGTGACGGCAAATGTGGAAGACACGCCTCGTCGTCCTTCTTGACGATCAAAAAATTGTAGAACGAGACATCAAACGATCGTGAGAAATTAAACAAAACACATCAGATGACGTAAGACGGTTTTGGAGCTCAGACAAGACACGACAGACGTGAACTAGGACTGGAAGACGCAAGACGGTAAACGGAAGACGGAAAACGAAACGAAAAACACCAAGGGAGAAGATGATACACCACACACACACACCAATCACACACACCCACATCATAATCGTAGAATAAAGCGTAATTACAACCAGCAATCTGCGCTTTATTACCACCTAAGTGCTCAGTGTCTCGTAAGGGATTTGGTACACTGAGAATAAGGGGGCATCACAAGTATACCATACGCTGCCCCCTCCGCGTGGAGCTCATCCACTTCCACGCGGCGCAACAAACGTTGAATGTAAAATTTCTAATAAAAAATTAAAAATCAGTAATTTTAGCTGTGATATGTTTAGCGTTAACAAAAGTTATTGGCATAAATAGTGTTGCGTCCTAAACACTGCAACTCTCGCGTTCGGAGCTTTGCGAGGTTGTAAGGCCCGTTACGCAGATGCGACAATGTTGCAGTGATGTGGTCTACTCTAAATTAATCTTGCTAGACCTGGTTAAGGGTGAACTAAAGAGTTCTGATGTGCGACTATTCTTTGGGGGTGAGTTCATCGTAGTGGGTTTGTCTTGGCTGTCTTTAAATTGAGGTAGAACTCCTCGGTCGTGATTGTCTTGTCTTTTTGAAATTTGGGGGCTCTCTATGCGACTCCTGTCTCGGTGGTTTTATAAATTCGTATATATTCTGATTGGTTGCTGTGAAATGTAAGTGGCGGTTGTGTGTCTTCCTATTGGTTGTGAATAATATTGAGGGTGTGTATCAGTCTCGACGTTCTTCGGTGATAATGGATGGTGAAACAAATTGGGTCCTTATGCTCATCGTTTCAAGGGAGATTTATTGATCCTTGCTAAAATTCACCCAAGTGGTGGTCGGGTGAGATCGAGTGTCCACGAGTCAAAGATAACTAACAATTAGAAAATAACACAGTCCCCCATTTGACTTGGGACTTGTGGTCCTAGGGCCGCAACAAATAAAATATCACCTGAAATACCTAAATAACCTACATAATATGAAAGGACGTTAACAAATGAATCAAACCAATAGTTTTATTCAAAATCCTTTATTCAAAGATACTTTTGACATATTGTAAAGGTTGATAAAGGAGAAACGCTGTTTAGGAAAAATACGTTCGTTCAGTAGGGCATACTTTCAACGTTATTCTCACGGCTGTAAATGTACACGTCTGTGAAGTACATGTTCGGGATATTCCATTTTGGCCACATGGGTCTGTCCAATGGGAATCCGAACGGTTTGCCGTCGAACATTATTTTTCCGAACATTGGTAGATTGTACGACATCATGGTGCTCTCTTCAATGGGACTCACGAAGAAGAACATCTTGAATCTCATACCTTCTGGTCTGCCACGTGGCAGAGTGAGACGTTCGGGCATGCCGATCATCCTTTCAGAGTACATGAATGGCTCGCTTCCGCTGATAGCCTTGTCCAATTTTTCATTGTATACGTCACTAGGCATCATGTCTGGTGTTGTGACCAACGAGTCTGAACTAAGTCGTTCAATAGTATTATTTCCAGGGTGGACTGTAAAAGTAGAAAGAATTTAGGTTAGGTACTGTTTGTTGAGTTTGTAGTCTATGTTAATGCTGTTATTTCCATGTTGGACTACGAAAGTAGAAAGAATTTAGGTTAGGTAATGTTTGTTGAGATTGTAGTCTATGTTAATGCTGTTATTTCCATGTTGGACTACGAAAGTAGAAAGAATTTAGGTTAGGTACTGTTTGTTGAGATTGCAGTCTGTGTTAATGCTGTTATTTTCATATTGGACTATAAAAGTAGATAGAATTTAGGTTAGATACTGTTTGTCGAATTTGTGATTTATGTTAAGTGAAACCTCGATGTCACTTTGTATTATTTAACATACTATGGACATTAAAATATGGGTGACTCACATTTTCAGATGTTAAAATAGAAGACTCTTTTAAATTTTTAATAACGTGGACGTAAATCAAAGTGTGAAAGCCATCGACTATGCAAAATGCTTGCAAACTCCGTGGATATTTATTAGGTGCATTCACCAAATATTATGTATAGCAGAGAATTAAGAAGCTTAACTGTTTAGGACTATTGAAAGATAATTAATAAGATAAAAGCAAAGAAGCAAAATGCTAACGCAAGAACAACTCAGCCAATTCTTCTACCTCTATCTTGCTGCATAAGCACATGTATGAGCTTATTCTTAATTGTTGGCAAATGATATGAAGCGTTTATTTTTATATGAGTGATGTGTCTCTACAAAAACAGATACGTGTCTGTTCAAGAACCTTATAAATATTTGTAAACCATTGACACTGTTGATGAATGTAAGAATACAAAAGTAGCTTTAATAATATTTAACGGAAAGTAAATACTTCGACAGAATTTAAAATTCGAATAAAAAAATGACATTAAAATATTTAATTTAAAAAAAAACATTGTACTTTATGTTATTTTGTTTTTCGAAGCATATAATTGTTTTCTAACGAAAATCTTATTATAGACGATCCATCATTAAAACAAGATAGCGAATGGTTAAGTCCAATGAGTCTACTGGTAAACCAAACATTCACACAAAGTGAAATACAAATTAATAATTTAACGTGAAAGTGTAATACAACTGATAATAAATAATTTATTAATATAAGCGATCTATGTTAAAAATAATTTTTAAATGATCAATTGTGAAGGCGAAGTTTGATCCATAAAGTACGTAATACTAGCGCCATTTTGAATGCGTTACGCCAGTGGCGACCTTAGCGTCAAAATACGAAAACAGTTTCTGAATTCATTACTAAGATTCATCAAATCCAAACTTACATACGACAGACGGTTTATCTTTTTCATAATTCTCATATATAGTGTTAGTGATATAAATCCTGTACTAATACTAAATTAACCCCTTCGCTACGTGCCGTACCAAAGATGGAAACATTACGATCGTGCAGTCTTTAGCATTCGGGGCCAAGTCTTTTGAAGAAGAAAAAGAAAAGAAAACCCGACCACGCCAATAGCGTTTGCAATTCTATGCGAGGAGAGCTAAAAGGATTTGGTCTTAATTTTTGGCATAATTTTTGTGACCAGTGACTATAATCACCTATCTTGTGTAGATGACGCCTCGTGGCCGGTGACTATAGTCACCCGTAGTAGCGAAAAGATTAAAGATAAAGAAACAAAGACAAGAATTTAACCCTTCGATCGCTGAGTTATGCGACATTAAGCGTGTGCTAAGCATCAATCGCATGCATTTATAGCCCAAATCGAATGGTTGTATTAAAACCCATATCTGTGTTCATAGCCCAAAATGGAATAGTTATGTGAATACCCATATATGCGTTCATAGCTCATGTTGAACGATTTTGCCGAATGCATATATGTCCATAGTGTTCAAAAGGTTAAAATATTTATAAATAGGATCATAATTGTGGAACACATTTCTTAAAAAGAAAGTTTCGAATAAAGGAAACAAGATGATCAGATATGTTAATAAAAATGTATATGAATAGAAAACTTGGTTGGAAACATTTAAAAACATATTTAAAGACTTAAAAGCACTTGGAAGTTGATGTTTAGGTTATCAAAATGGTGCTAGTGTCACACGATAATTAATTGAACTAATGCCGATGATGATCGAAACTTTGTTAGTAGTTGGAGTAATCGAACTCCTGTTAAATTATACGAAAAGTTATAATTAGAACGAATTGAAAATTGAAAATATACGAGATACTAACGTGTTACGACGAATCGGTCCATTTCCACGAAGTAGTTATTGTATTTGCCTAGGTAGACCATGTCCTGCTTGACCTCGTCGAAAGCAGGTCCAAGGAAGATTCTGAGCATTCCCTTCGTTTCCCTGTCAGAGTTGATGCTCATCCTATAGGTGAACTGTTGGTAATTCATGCAAGAACGACGTGCTTTCAGACGCAGAGACTTTCCAGCCTTCATGTTCGGAACTGCTACGGCATTGTTGATCAGACTATCACAGTCGTCGATGAAGGTATACAGTTTGTCCATATTCACAGTTTCGAATGTGACTCCTGGCATCTGTAGATCACTCTGAGTATATGCAGGCTGTAATTCCTTGTACCTATATGAACATAATTCGTAATAGTCGGTAAAAATTAATGAAGTCGTACATTTTTGTGAGCTTTAATGTTATCAATTTTGAACATTAATTTTATAATTTTATAATTTTAAATAGCGTTGAAATTTTTATAACATTATCAATTATTATTAATTTCATAGATTTTTCGTAAACATGTTTGACTGAACATAAGCTTCGAGACTTACAGATCGATTTGGTTTAGGTTAGGTTAGGTTTAGGTTAGATTCCTATTTATAGAAAAATCTTCCTATTTATGATTTCCGTATGATTTCTGAGTGTCGAATTAGTCTCAACGCGTCGTTTACATTTCTAGCGAATCTATGTGTAACAATAATGAAAGGTTAGAATACTTCATCACTTCGACGATAAAACGATTGCAAAATTTATGAACTTAGTTTTATATTTTTATTCGGCTCTTAGGTTTACTATTTAGTTACTGTTCGAATACTGTCAAATGAAATAAAATATATTTTACTCGGTTTCGTCTATCAACATTGAAATCAAGATTGAAAGTAAATTTCGTTGGTATTTTAAAATTTTTAATTAAACAATTTTTAATTAAAAACGAATAATAATTAACTGAAACCATTTTTAAAATTAATTTATCTATTGCGTTTATAAAAGTGTATACTAATTGCATGATAACCATCTTATCAAATTTAATGAGAAATATAGTAATATAAAATAGAACACGTGTAAATAAAGTAAAAGTAAAAAACAGAAATAAATATACTCAAAAGATTCGATTCCCACAAATTTCAAAATAAGAAGGCTATATCAAAGCTGTTACGATATAGTATATTATTGTACCATTCCGTAAAATATAAATATTAAAATATTATAAATAACTCGTATTGAATTAAGTCATCGATTAAACTATAGCTATAGTTAAAGTTAAATTTTAGAATTAAAATACAACTCACCTTCGTTGAATTTAGATCACAATCCATGGCATAAAAATGATTCAATAATATAGAATGACACAAACGTAACAAAAAACTAAAGTTTCTTATGGAATATGAAATGTGATGCTTATATTAAGGACTATATAAGCCTGTTATAGTTCACTTATTATAAATTACTATTACTTAACGTAATAGTAATATTTCCTCAAAGACAATGTTTGTATTACCTTCGTGTCACACTGTACAAGGCAATGCAAAATGAAACAAAAACATGACTAGATTATATGGATTAATACTAATAATTAGTAGGAATAGAAAATAGTAGAAGACTCACCTGGTATTACTAGTAATTACTACTAATTACTACTAATTATTACTAATTACTAGTAACTACTAGTAATACCAGACGAGCCTTCTATTACTCTCTATCCCGTGGCAATTCTTGCACGAATCGTTGACATAAGGAGTCACCGATTGAAACTCAAAGAAGTGCAAAGAAGAAGAGTTAAGGAACGAACCATGAGTTATTTATTCACGAGCAAACTTGGAATAGAGGATGATAGAGTAGACCATGATAGATCAGTAGAGTAAACGTACCTGGAGAAGTAAGTCATGATTCTCTGGTAAAGCATGTAGAAAGCTGGATCTCTCATACTGGTACAGTAACATTGGAGGGCGCTGGGGATCATCTTGTTTTTGTTCTTGTATTTGAAACTGAAGCCCAGGATGTCGCGAGCAAGAGCATCATACATGCCGTAGAATGTGCTGTCGCAAGAGTCGGAGTTTCCTTCTATCATGTTGCCTATCATGTTCAGACCTTCTGGAGTGTAGATATCTACCTTCTTTCCACGTCCACAGTACATGTAGCCAGTGTCTATGGCGTCCATTATACGCATCTCCAGAGCTTTGATTACCTGTTTAAGTTATTAATTTTGAATGATTTTTCATAGATTTTGCATTTCTTCGCTTTTTCAGACATTTTTGCATACTTCGAATATACAGGGTACCCCATTTGAGTTGACACAGCGCAAAATAAATCGCAAACAAGTGATTTAAAATAAAATAAGACGATGCATATTTTTAGTATCTTGGTTCATCCTTTAGTGTTTAGTATTTTTGTATTTTATAGTTAAAAGTATTGGAAAAACAGACTGTTTTGCCTACAGAATTTTTCGTTGTTTCGACCTAAATGGGACACCCTTTATATTGTCCAGCTTTGCAAAACTTTTGTAGTTTAAAATGAAAATTATTAAGTGGTTATAATTTTGTAGTAAGTATTCATTTGATGAAATACTTTTATATGGTTATAAATTTTATTGTTCAATACAATTATTGTTTAACAGTTTTATTGTTTCAATAGTTATTTCTATTGCTCAATAGTTCAATATCATTCAATAACGTTCAATTCTATTGTAAAATTCTTGTGACTTTAACAGAAAAATTCTAAATTTTGTTGTTCAAATGGTTAAAATTTTGTAATAGATGTTCACTGTTCAGATAGATTGTTATTGTATTATCAAGAAAACGTAGGGATAAATTCATAAGCTAAATTATTGGATAAAACAGCAATTTTTAATTCATTGTTGAATCAATTAAATCTTATAAACTCCCAAGTTGAATCATTTAAACACAATAGATTTGTAAGACTTGCACTCTAAAGTACAAGAGTTATAACTATTTAAAAATTATTTAATTTTTAAAATACAACAAGAGTTATAATAAAGCATAATATAAGAGTTACAACCCCTCCCCAAATTATCTATTAATATAACTTTTTAATTCACTTCAAAGAGTAATAAAATTTTCAAAAATCTTTTAAACTTTCAAGTTTCGTTATCTATGAATATAATATAATATAATATAATTTTTAACACATTTGTAGCTTTCATTCTAAAATATAATTTATAGCGTAGTAATCTAGTTTTCCAAGCTAAATTTCATATTAACTTAACAATTTCTTCATTTATTCTAAAATATGATATAATAATTTAATGTCATGAATATTATTTAAATTGTCAAGATAAATTGGTTACTTTCATTAGAACATATATTTATATATATATAATGATATAACGATATGTACATATAATGATATAATGAGAAGCTAAATCATTTATCAAAATAAATGAATCATTATCGATAATCATTATCACTAAATCATTTATCCATATTTAATTGACTCTAGAGTGCAATAAAAATTATCTAGATTTCGAACTCTAATTATCTGCCAACGTAATGAAATGAATTAAAAATGGATTAAACATATTAAATTAAAATAAATCTGAATTAAATAAAAAATAAATTTTGGATTTATTCCAAAATACAGTATATCTATAAAATTTCATACTCACTCTAAGATTCTTGTATTTGTAATATGGCACCGACGAATATCTGTTTCTCTGTGGGAAAGGTATGCCATTGGGGTACATCAACGTTGAGTAAAATCCAGGGATAATGGGTCTGTTCCAGTCGAATTCGTTTATCGGACCAAGGCCTTTCGACATTCGTTCCAGACCGTATCTAGCCAGAAGCTGTTGGTGCAAGAAATAGTACAGCTGACCACGTATTTCTTTGGGCATGTTGTACGTTTCGCTGTTCATCCAGAAGGGGAACATTTGCCGGATGTAGTAGTAATACGCGTTTAATCCGGCGTCTTCCATGAAGTAGTCGAGTTTGTATTCATCATCGCTGTATGGCATCTTGTATTTGCTAGAATAGTTTGCGTAGACCATGTGCGTTTCAGCATTGTCCATTGCAGCACCGAAACCTAAATAATATTTTGTTTGGAATTAATAATAAAATAATTATCCTTTTTAAAACATTAAAAAAGAAAAGAAGTGGGTGGATTTTCAAAACTTTGTCCTTTCTTTTAAATTCATATATCGTCAATTCTCTAGAATGTTATATCACTTGAGCGTTTCATATCTATGCACCTATACTACTTAAATTTTATTCCATATTTTTATCAAGACACAATTGTATTTTTGAATATACCATTAAATTAGAATTAACGATCATTTTGTAATTATTTTCCAGGTCTGAAATTAAGTTAAAAAAGTGAAACGAGTTCTCTCTTTGTTTAATAATTATGTTTAAGCTAAGAATTCAGATTATCAAGTGCCAATTGAAATTAGGTTTAAATTGAGATTTATAAATAATAAAGAGATTTTCTGTAAATTTCGATTTTGAAAATTTTAAGGATCGATTGTTTTTAATAGAGCTGTGAAATAAAATTTTATAAAACGAATTATAATTTCTTATATCTTTAAAGATACTGTTAATTTAAGATTATTACGAAATAAAATTTCTATTCTTAATTCCTTTCTAGTTTGACTCGTTGAAAATTGTATAAATTGCACTTCAGAAGAGTTTGTAAATAAATAAATTAAAATTTGAACGTAAAATTTATCATATTTAACTATATTATAGGATAAAATTCTTTAAAGCGAAATATTAAAATAAAATATTTGATATTATAAGAAATAAAATTTTGTTGAATAAAATATTATTTTTCGTAATGTGATGATATAAACGCTTAACAGATTTGAAACTAAATTAAAATATTAAACACGTTTGTTACCAAACCGATCATTGTTTACGTTCCATGGATTGTATACAGCTCATATCATCGAAATTAATAATTTATTCCACACACGTGTCTTGTAATATTTATGATGTAATATGTAGTACCACATATTATTAAATATCGTATACCAAATTTAACAAGAAAGAAAAAAAAATATCCATCTTGAATACAAAAGTGAATTTCGATAAGATAAATGTCAATGACAAAAAGTCAAAATGAATAGTGGAATAGCAAAAAGTCAAAATTCGTAGTAAATTAAAAAGCACAATAACAATTGATAATAAAGATAAAAAATAATTAAGGATTAATTATTATCAATGATCGATAATAAAGAACAAAATCAAAAATAATTAACGAACCATAACTGACAATTAATAATAAGAATAAATATGAATAAATAGTAAACGATTAAGAGTAAGTTATATAGTTACTACGAGACATCCTCAGGTTCTGTGCTTCTTGGATAACGTTCGAATCGTAGAAGAAATTAGGATAGATCTCGTAGATCGCTGGCAGTCTCATGTTCATACATTCCTGCCTATAGAGTACTGCGGTGGTGAAAGCTGAAGTGAATATGCCATTATTCATGTGAATTCTGGCCCAAGCAGCAGTTTTGTAGAACGTTTGGAAGTCCTTCGCCTGGTAGAACAGTTCGAACAGCATCTGCAGCTCCTTCATTTGTTCGAAATTAAAGGTAGTGAAAATGGCATCACGGGACAGGAACATTCCCTGATTGTACCACCACATGAAATTCTGAACGACAGTCTGAAACAGACGAGTAAAAAATATAGTTTCATCGTGCTGGATTCTTTGTACTAGAGTCAAGTCGTATGTAACAGCAAGAATGAAACAGATGCGATTTTTCAATAGTAATATATCTATCTCTGGCATTTAATAAATGAATAAAAATTGATTTTCCTACATTTTGATATCCATTACTTTATTAATAATATTCGATATTTACTTTAATATTCCTGCTAATTTTTATTAATATTTATCATTTCTTTATGTATATATAATATAATATACTATTGCTCTATTGCTTCAAAGATATTTAATAATTCGCTAATAATTATTTATCTCGATTAATCATTTATCATTACCGTAGTATATAATAATTATTTATGATAATAATTTCTTATTACATTATACGTAATATCTAACAGGTATGATAATTCCTAATATTTGCAATTTTGATATTTAAATTTCAAGTATCATTTCAAGTGTAGGTTAATATTTCAACATTAACCACTTGCGCTACGATTTAACTTTCGGTTGCCGTGCCGCGCTCTATAATGTAACATGCGGTAAGGCGTTACATTGACGTGGTATACACGTCGCTGGCGGCTTTGGAACAAAAGCATCTCGACGTGCGTGGCACGTTTTTATAGCGCAAGTGGTTAATCCGTACTCCGTCCTTTCTTCCACAATCCTCGACCCAAAGTAACGAACTATATTAAAATTCTTCGTCACAAGTAAAGCGTAAAATGGAAGAAATTTCGAGGGTGCAAGAGATCGAATACTTTGCACTCTTTGCATCGGCACGTCGTTAAATTATTCACGAAATCGTGAACATCGAGATTCACCTTGTTCAGGTACATGTCCATGTTACTCTCTATGTTGTAGTTCCTGCCGACATCGTACCACTCTGCGTCGCTCAAGTCCGCCTGTCTCACGTAGAGCAACAGGTTGAAGATCTTCTTCTGCTTGTGGATGAAATCCATGTCGGCGGTGCGACTTCCGGATAGCGACACGGCCTGCGTGGCGCAGATGGCGCTGAGCGCCAGCAACAGTGTTACCTTCAGCATCCCCGTAATGAAAAATCGAACACCCTCGATACGGTTCAACGTTATATACCGGACTATGGTCCACCGCGTGCTTTTATACTTATTCCGAATAGAGTAATCACGCTGAACCTCTGACCCATATCGTGCTTACCGAGATACCGTGTGTCATCAATACCGTGTATATTTGTACGGTTGATTATTAACACGCGCATCTGTCGAAAGACGATATGAAATTTTTTTCTACAGCGAGAGGAGGAGAGGGCGAGAAAGTTACATCGAGTGAAAATCGTTGGACTTTTGCTGCATTACAGTTTAATTAGGTTTCGCATGGAGGTACCGAGACTTACGTTTATTTCATTCAATATGGCCGACGAATGTAGAATGGTCGATGATTTCAAATTTTTCATTGGGAGGACGACAGGAGAGAGAAGGAGTTTAATTAACGAATTTAATTAGGTTTACATGGAGGAACACTATAGTGTTAGGGCTATTTTGTTTGGGTGCTGTTTAATAGCGTAATTTTAATAAAATTTTAATAAAGTTTAATAGGGTGGTGGGGTTGCAGACGCCATTTAAGATTTTGGTTTAGGAGAATGGTGGTTCTAGCTATGGTTTTTATTATATTCGATGGGGAGATTGGTATTAGTGTCGAAAGAGAAAAGGTTGGTTTATAATTGTGCGATTAATTAGTTTTGTGAATGTCAAGTTATCTTCGGTGCTATATTTATTTTGTTGGGGTAGATTTAATTAAGTTGATATAGTTGATATGGTTTAATTAGCGATTCTTGTTTTTTCTTTAAGAGAATTCGATCCTGGTTATGGTCTTCGCTGCGTTGGGTGAAGATCAATGTTGAATTTTGGGAAGAGAAGATTAGTTTAATGTTGTAAAGTTAATCGGTATCTACGCGAAGCTGTTACCAGTGCTGTATTTATTTGGCTAAGGTCAGATTTAATTAAGTTGCTACAGATTAATTAACTTTTTTGGTAGAATGTGATCTGGAATATGATTTTTCTGAGATCTATGTTGAATTTGGGAAAGAAAATTAATTTACAATTTTGGAAATAATTAATTTCATACAGATTTTATACAGTTTCGTAATTTTTATTGAGTTCGTACTATTTGTTGTTACACTTTAATTTTAGAGATTTTAATTGGCGATAAAATATTTTTATTTTAAAAGATAGGATTGAAAGAATGGTTTTCATTGCAAACAACGAAGATAATTATTTAATTTGGAGATAATCGTCATATTTAGTTAACGCTAAATTTATTTTATTCGTTTATATTTGAATTAAGTAGTAATTGAAATATTCTTTTTAATATTAAAATCATTTTTTCAACGTTGTTAATTTTTTTGTATTTCGACCAAGTGGTCAAAGAAATTTTATAAAATTTTATTAAATTTCTATTAAATTTTTATTTTAGGTTGAAATTATTTTAATCAGCAGTCACACGTTCAATTTCTCTAAGGGTTGAAATTTGTCATTGTGGATAGCCGAATTAATTCATTAGGCAAATTATAATTTTTAAATTATCATTACTTTATATATTAAAATTGTTATTATTATTATTACTATTATTTTCGACATATTATTGGAAATGTTAAAATAAGTATTGCTATTATTACAATGATTATTATTTTATGATTATTTCTTTGTTACAGATCCTTTCCTTTGTGATTTGGAAATGTACTTTAAAAATGTTTCAGATAATAATGATAATAATTTAAACAACTTTTATTTACAAAAAAATGAAATTAGGAAAAAAGTTTAACAACTCTGTGTAAAATTATTTTATATTATATTATGTATTATATTATTAATCATATAGTGTAACATATATAAATGTATTATACATGTATAAGTAATTATATATATGTATATGTAATTCAAGATACTGTAACAATAATTATATACATATGTATATTTTTTTGATTCAAATTTTTCTTTAGTCATTTCCAGTTATGTTATATTTAATTCAGGAATTAAGTTCATTTTAAATATACATGCATTGCACTTTCGCGTACGTGATTATCGACAAGCATTAATTTCCAATTTCATACAGAAGATATTTGATAAATTTTTAACGTATTTTCTCTTTTTAAATAAATTATTGCCGACAGCGTACGTTTCTTATTTTTCTGAGATATGAATATTTACTTTGAAAATATTTATTTTATTCTTTTTATGTACTCCTGAAACTTAAATGTAAAATCGGAATAAATAAAATGTAGAAACTTATTTTGACTTCCAATTTATCTACATAAATCCATGAACTTTGTAATCTTTTAACATTTCTTTACAACATTTCGATTCTTTATATAACAACAAAAATTCGCCGGTTTCAATGAAACAAAATATATAAAATGAAATTTTATCGACAATAATATTATATAATCAAATGTTGTTATATGTGGTATATTTTTCAAGTTATCGCTAATAACCTTACAAATGCGGTATTAATCGTTGATTTAAAAAAGGAGAAGAAAACTTATAATTATAAGAAGTACAATTGTAAAAGATATATTCCATTTCTTGGCAAATACATTTTAGCATAAAACGTATCAAACATTTTGTATAATTGTTTATATAGTTCGTATGAAAACGAATTGCCGATTTAGAAGAAAATGGAAGCATTTTTATAACGTGAGACAAAATATTTTAAATATTATTGATTTACGGAAAAATTGGTATTTTGAGAATCGTCTCATTATATTATAATAAATGATTCTTATTTGTGACGAATGTTATAATATTTTGAACGTATGGGATACAGTTAGTTCTTATTTCAATGGTACTTTATTAATTTCTTCACTGACTATAATATAAGGAATTTAAAAGTATTGTACAACTTTGTTCACCATAAAATTTTCATTTCGTGTTTCTTTGCTTCCTTGAACAACCTAATTTTGAATTGTGAAAAAATGTGTTAATTTTATATATTTTAAAACACTGAAGGACATATTTTATGTCTGTATATCACTGCAAGATGTAAATATATTTAGAAGGAACGTGTGTAAATATTTTCTTCATGTTTTGTATACGAGATGAGTTATATTCTTCTATACTTTGTAATTTGTGATTAATAATATATTGTGTTAATGCTATGTTATATTACATAATGATATATTATATTAATAGTATAATAATAATAATGTACTGACATATTAACGTCCAATAGTTATTTATATATTAGTAAGTAATATATATTATAATATTATTATATATTATTTATTATTATATTATATATTGGTATAATAACATTGGTATAATAATAATAGGTATAGTAATAATAATACTTATTCTGCACGTGTTACTAATATTTTAAGAAATTATTATGGAAATTTATGGAAAGTTTTTATTAATTTATATAGCTTATAATAATTTAACTATTTTATTCTGCACCCATATATTTTTATAAAAGTAGATTTATAGAATTTGTTAAATTGTGTCGATAGGATTAAAAGGATGTTCTAACTTTCGAACCAAATAAACGAAAATAGTGATTATGATGAATTACAATTTAGCAACTTCTCCTTAGAACTAACTACAAATTAGATATAATAATAAATACATAACATAAATAGACAATAAAAAACAAAAATTATATGACTTATAGTTTATTTCGTATTTGTTCCAAATATTCTAAGAAATCAGGTAATATTTACATTTAATCAATATTTGATTTATACTTAATTTATATTTAATTTGCATTTGATTTATACTTACTTTATATTTAATTCACATTTAAGTTCCTCTGTATTTTTTGAATTTTGCTTTCTATACAAATTGTTATTTTAGTGGTTACAAATGCTTATCGAAATAGCGTAGTGATTAGGTATGAATAAAGAATTTATTATAAAGGGAAATACAATAAGTGAAGCTTGTGTCAAGGAGAGTATAAACAAGAACAAGAAATCAATAAAACAAGGGAATACAAAATAAATGGCATAAGGACCATTGTATCATGAATAGTGATTACTTCATTATCAATACAAATAACTAAAATTTTTCTCAAACTTCTAAATTTTATTGACGAAAATGAAGGAAACTAACAAGATATATTGATACCAAGTTAATAATTAATAAATTAATTATTAACTGCCATAATGACTATTATTGTACTGAATTGTTCGTTTCAGTTTGTTATTAATATAGCAGGTATCAGTAAATGTTATTCATTTTTAACACGTTTCGTGTCGCGTGGGGTACTGATGACCCACGTTGGGGATCATCGGCAAAAATTCCATTGTGTAGATAATCTTCCACGCATTTTTCCAGCAAAATACATAGAAAAGGGAAAAAAGGTGTATTATTATTCTTCTGCAATTCTCCACAACTCTGCTCCAACTGCTTAACATCCTTTTAAATTTCTGTCCATTTTATTTTAATAATTATATTTTTTATTACTTTTGTTCATAAGTTTAGTACCTTTAAATGAGGTACATACTTAAAAGTCGATAAATCCTTGAATCGTATCATTATCAAAATGATTGTATAAACTTAATTTATTCTTGGAGGTTGAAGTATGTAATAGCAAGTGTTTTGAAAATCAAATCTCAATTTTTAGTATTAATGCGAGGATAGATTATTATCGTATAAAAATCGTGATAATTATATATCTGAACGATTTTGATAATTTTTCTCTGTTTAGAAGACAACGTGGAAAATATTCCACTATTGCTGACCTAAAAATTTATCTGGACAAAGATACAAGACACATGGAAATTAACTATTTCAAAAGTACAATATGTTAGAGTACACTTATAGTACACTGTTCATAACATGATTTATTACGACCTATTAATTTTCTTAAGAAGATATTATTCTGTACAATCAATTGCACTAATTTTTAATTATTCTTTTGTGGAAAATAGAATAATATATATTATTTAAAATAGGAAGAGTTAGGTAAATATATATCTCTTTATATCATGGTCTTTGATTAATTATACTTTAGTGATTACAATAAATTCTGTTTGTTTCTTAAGGTACTTCTAATAAATCTTTACTTAATTTTC